GCAGGGGGGTTGGACTAGATGACCCACAGAGGTCCCTTCCAACCCCTACGATTCTGTGATTCTGTGATAATCAAGGGAATTGAAGTCTTGCCCCTTACGACTGGTATCTCTTACTAGTTGTAACTTACTGACTACGACCAAGCATTTGGAGTTCAGATAAGACAGAATGGCTTTAGCACAGCAGTGGCGGGAAAAAATGCGGAGCAGAGTTAATATAGCTTTGTCTGTTTGCTTCGAAGGGAATCTCATGAATTGCTTCCTTGGAAAAATACATGCTGACCCTTCAGGTTTCTTTGTGTGTCCCAAACACAAGAATTATTTTAGGGCTAGAGAATACCTTTATAATCAGATTAGGAAAAAAAAGTAGGACATGCAGGGAACCCTCACTAAGATGGATCTGATTGCTGTCAGCATCAGAATTATCTGCAAAATTCATTTTATCATTGGGGAGAACCCTTCCCCCTAAGGCTTTCTCCAAAGAGCTGCTGCAGAAATGAGCTTATTAATGCATTGCTGACTAGGTGATTCATGTCAAAAGACGGTAATTTTCATATCTGCTATAGCAGGCTCTATCGATCCCGCTGCTGTGTCTGGGGATTGTGCAGTAGGTGCTTGAGGAGTATGTTGGTATTTTTAATGTACGGCATGGTATGTGTACTTGGGTTTCTGTAGTTATTTTGGTCTCAGAGTCCTACAGACCGAGGTGAGGTAAATACAGTGCCAAGGGCAGCTGTTCAGGTGCCTGGCATAGGGCCTGCCTGCCCTGTGTAGGGGAGCGCAGCGCTGATCTAGTCGTGTTGGTGTAGCGTTGCCGAGGCACAGGGTTTTGGGCATGACTGCTGGTGCCTCCACACGGAGCCTTTCACCAGCTCTGGCCAATGCAACTTGCACAGCTGTGTGGTGTGCATTGTCTCGGTGGGAGAAGTAGGTTTTAGAGGGGGAGAAAGGCAATGGAGGAAACGAAAATGTAGGAGTTGAGAGCTTGTGGAATATATGAGCCTTTTCACAGAATGTGGGAGGAGTCTTCTATTTAATAGAGACGTGAGAAGTGCAATAAACAGGGCTTTTGTATTGCATCCTCATGGGATAGGCTTGATATTTAGTGCTGCAGGCCTGGATTTAATCTTGTAGCTGGTAATCTGCCTGCACAGATGAAGGCTCTTCAATCTAGTGAGTCCTGATGCTGAACTGAAGCTTTGGTTGTAATTGGCCAAATGCTTTAATGATAACATAAAGGTGATGTCTACTTGGGAAGGGGAAAAACTGGAAGGTTTTGACCACTGACATCTTCCTGTCAAGGCCAGATCCTGATGCCCTTTTACAGAATGTGGACTGAGGAACTCCTTCCGCCCTTTGCCAAAGTGAACCAGGGCCCTGGGCTTCCCCTGTGGACCTGCGCGTGCCTAATTCTCCTGCTGGCTGTGGTCATAGAAAGCTCTCGGCAACCTAGACTTAACGCTGAAGGAGGAATAGTCCAAGTTTGTTCATATGTATTACAATAATTATGGCTGTAATAAGCGTTTGCCTATAATGAAGTCTTTCTATTAAAAAAATACATCAGCGAAATTTCTGCGCTTTGAAGGTTCACTTCTGTATTTGATAGTATTAATTCTGTTTCAGAGGGTTTCTAGACTTAGAAGACATCTGTGCTGGTGAATTGAAGTTCATATGCTTTTCCATGGTAACATGCTTTCATGTAGCCAGAAATTAAAGCACAAAAAATAGTTGCGTTTCCTCTTCAGGTTATATTTAAATGCAAATCTACTCAAAAGACAATTGAGCGGTGGGGCTCTGATGCAACAAACGTAGTTGAAGTTCAATATGCACTTTTAAAAAACAGCTGAGGAAAACATCACTTCTGGATGATGTCTTGTTAGCTGTGCGGTATGGTCTGGTGAAACTTTGTAATCTCGTTTACTCTTGGTTGAGCTTTTCACTGGAGAGGCTTAAGCATTGAAATGTATTTTTGTGCCTCACCTAATTTCTCGCTGATGACTGCTAGCAGAAAGTATGTAAAATGGCTTTCAGGATGTTCCATTTCCAGTGACAGTATTACTTCTCATTATTATGATGGTTTCATTACTTTCATAGATGAAAAGGTTAATAGATGTATATACTTCTGCAAGTAAGACAGTGTGATCTGATTATGTCTGTTAATATTTTCAGTTAATATTTGATCATGAAACAGTAAGCAGGAAGCAGTGCTTGCTGATTACCTTCTGCTGTTTTAGCAACTGAACACGTAGATGTTAGAAGTTACTCTACTTGCCAGGCTTCTAGGGCTATCTGAGGCCTATATTTTATTTACGGATAGAGCTGAACATTTTGAACAAGTGATGATGTCCTTGGTCTGCAAAATTCACTCTATTGCAATTTAACTGAAGATTAAAACATAGTCTTACAAATCAGTGATTTAATTAGATAATAACTGCTGCGATGATAAATTTCCTTTCAAATTAAAGAAATTCTTCTGTGTCTGACAGGAGACAGAGCCATGTCACAACATCTGATTAACTGTTAGGGAAAGTGCAAACAGCAGCACTAGAAGTCCCTTGTTTTGCCTTGCACCTCTCCCTTAGTGACCATGATATGATTAAAGCTAGTGGATCTTGTGGAGTAAGTGTGTTATGCAGTCAAAGATGGAGCAAGAGCTTTGTAATGAGCTTAAAAAAGCAAACAGAAGCTTCAGTGTTTTCTAGACTATTTGAAGGATCTAGGGTTCTTCAGGACCCGGGTGTGCAGGGACACTGGGCAACCCTTGGTGTCTGCTGCCTGTCGGGGATACCTTGCAAGTCAGGGGCAACAGAGGATGCAGCCGGCACTGGACCTTTTGGTCCTTCCTCTCTCCTGTCCTGCTTGCTGCAGTTTCTGGGCCTCATATAAGCTGCGCTAGCTGGCTCTGACCTTGAGGTCCTGCATAGGGGATCTCTCCATCTGTCTGGATTAGAGAGAGGATTTAATTCTAACCGATGGCATGATTATATGAACTGCCTGTTGAGACACAAAGCTAGTAGGCTAAACTAAACTGAACAACTGAAGTGTAGACGCTGGCCTACCTCTTGCACTATATACTTCTCTTTTCACAATGTTTGATTTCACATGCTGAATCACTAAAGAGTATTGCTGCGTTTGCTTTTTGTCTTTTACAAAAGTGTGTCATTGGCTTGAATAAAGGATATTATTTCACTGCTTTTCCCCAGTCTCATCCCATTTTAGGACATTAAGCAGCTTATATTTGGTAATTGCAAAAGACAAAGCAGTATTATTTCTGTGTGTTATGAAAATTAATATCCAAACACACAGGAAGATAGGAGGAGTTGTTGTATTTTGTCCATCTTTGGTTATTTTCCTCTCGAGAAGAGTGAGCTGGTCAATTTTTTTGTGCCCACTTCAGAAATGACTTGTGAAACAGCTTGTACAGATCGAAGTGAATGCTTGTAATCTGTATTACCAGTTTTCTCTTCTTTTACAAAGGGTGTTATTCAAGATGTGAAAGTCATCTTTATACCTAATGGATACATAATGCAGTGTCCTAATCTGAATCGCAGTAAGTAGCAATTTCTTTATTCTCTCTATTTTAGATTTTTCACACAAATTACTTCTTTGTTTTAAAAATAATCTTTTCAGGCTCGTCATTTTTGCGTGTGCTGACTTTCAGAAGGCAAAAATTCTGTGTAAACAGATTGCATTTTATGTTCAGATAAATCAAGTCTGATGTACAGTTGGTTACTTATGGATTATTGTGTCTTTTCTTCTTTTCCTTTCCATTTCTTTTTACTCTTCCTTTATTGAGCATGCCCAACCTGCAGTGATTTCTTAAGTCTGGTGCAAGGAATCATGGATTTGCAAGAACTCCTGGCAAAAATGACTGCAAAAGTAGGTACCTAAGCTTCTTTGTCAGTTGCCCGTTTCATTCTGTGCTAAGACCAACGTGAGATTATTTATTCCTTTTGTAATTATTCTACATGTTCATGGTAGAACCGTTTTTTTCCCCCTCCTTCTGCCAGTAGCTCTGGCTGCAGTGGACTTAAATATACAGCTTCATGGATGTCACTTAAGCCTTATACGGTTTCTATTGTCTGCCTTATTATTTCTGAGATCATGACAAAATGCCCAGGGTCTGATTTTTTTGTAAGAAGCCTTAGCGTGATTTCCCTTTTCATGCTGAGGGATAAATGCAGAAACAAAGGAGTGAAATCCCTCAACAATTTCCTCACCATGTGATGCTGTCAGAGGGGTGCGTGTTTGCCTGTGGGAAGTCCTGTGAAGTCTTCAGGGCTGGCGTAGTCTCCTTCCTGGGAATGGAAATGAGGCCCCGAAATGGAAGTGACTGTGAAGCTGCTGGCTGTGCTGATCTTGACATCACCTTTGATCAATGGGTTTTACCAGTGTGAAAGTTAACCCAACTCCAGGCGGGGTGTGGTGCAGTGTGTGCTTGTGGTGGGTGGTGGTTTTTTTTCCTCTCCTCCTCCCCCTCTCTGGTTTGGATTGTGAATAGGATGCATGGGGAGCTATAGTGTTTTTTTTTTTTTTTGGGATTTTGGAGATTTTCTTTAGGCTTCACTCCCGCAATACACAGTCAACATCTGTGTTAGCCAAGGCCTTTCAGCTAAGGCTGTGGCGAAGTTTTGGGGTAGAAAGCTGTGTTTTAGAGGTCACTGAACCCCTGATGTGTGTTAAAGGGTAATCTGTGAACACTTTTTGAGGTTAATGTTGGTGAACCATCTGGTCTGTGGTAAAGGACAATTAATTGTCTCATCTGAAACAGCACTTATGTGTTAATTACCTGATTTAAGTGCAACTACAATCAGCTTGTAAAAGCCTTTAATCTTAGCGTAGGTACCAAACAGGTATTTCAAAAACAAGATTTGCATAGTAGTGCTACTAGCGTAAAAGCATTACACTTTTTATTGCGCTGCCTTTAAGTGTTCTTTTCCTTCCTAATAGGAAAGGGGAAAGACTGTTTTTAGAGAGTATGCACATTATACTGACAAGCCACTTAGTCAGCTGACATGCTTTGGACAGGATGACTCCTAATGCGAAATGTGAAGCTTTTAGTTCAGTTTGCTGCTTGTACTGTGAAAGAGAGGCAATTATTTTGAGCCCTGCTGGTGGTATGAGCACGTTCCAATTATGCACTGTACTGAGTAACTTGCTTTCTCTGCTGTTAATTATATTTTTGCTTGCTAGTACTTTACGAGAGGAAGCAAATAACACAGTATTCGTACTGCAAAGACTCTATGCTTCCGTAAAGTGGTGCTGGGATAATCTTTCACTGCGAGTTCCTTTTCTGTTACAGCAGTGCGCTGACTGTTTCATTGCAGTTGTTAGAGAAATATTGTTGTACAGGAAAACTGCATGCAGCAGGAAAGGAAGTTAATTTGGTAGACAAATGCAAGTTAAAAATGGAGGGACTTGAGGGAAGCATTAAGGTTTGTATCTGCCTTTTCAGTGCTAGCCACAATAGTTAGAAGTGGTACTAATGTAGATACAGGTATATCATGTGGGGCTGATGTATGACAAGGCTTAGATGGGCTGTGCAGTTGCCTGCAGAGGTGGTGTTTAGCAGGGCACGTGGTCAGAGAGCGGCTTGCTAAGGTACATGAACAATGAACCTCAGCACCTGGTCCTGCACCAAGAGATGCAGAGCATGAACACGACGTTTTGGAAAAGTGGGCGCCATGGTTTGATGTCTGGTTGTTGCTTGTAGGCTCTTCTGTATCTAGGATTTCAGTTTCTTCCTCTGTCTCTGGTTACAGCTGTATTACAGCACTGAATAGACCAGTGAATTTTGTTCGCAGTGAATGTGTCCGTGCAGTTTATATGATGTAAAACTATGACATCTCAGGCCAGGGCTTGTCTGGGAAGAAAACCTCAGACTAGTGGCTTCAGGCTCCAGTAATTTTGGTTGGCAGCGCATATTATGCAGTACTTAGGCAGGAGGAGAGAGCAGCCTCCTGCTTAGGCTTTACCTCTGGGTCCCATGAGACTAGTGCTGGCGCAGGATGGGACATAGGGGCTGTATAAGGGGCCCAGCAGAGCGCTGTCTAGAGCAACTTGTCATGGAGTGTGATGTACAGGAGCACTGGATCATGACCTGTAACAAGCTAACCACCATTATGTCCTCTTCCTGCCTGTCTTGTAAGGACATAGCTTTTAAAGCCTATTTTATTTTTTGTCATTATTTGAATTAATGCTGAATCTTTCCAGTATATATGTTTAACTGATTTATTCTTGTGTCCTTAAATAGAGAGACACCATAGGTCAGAGTGTTGGAAATCTGGCCAAGATGTTAATTTGCTGTAGGAGAAAAGGATCGTGTTATGTCTCAGCATTCCCAGCTGCCATGCTAGAATGCCGTTAGCTCCTCTTCAAATATAGTGGCCAATTAATGCAACTTTAACAATTTACTGAAATAAGTCTGGACATCTCCTGCATTTCTTTGAGTGGAATATAATTTCTTTTTTTGTAAATTATGGGCCCACACTAGGGTGTGCTTTGTATTCAGATGTACTTGTTACACGAGGACTTCTGGCACAGAACTTTCTACTAATCTTTCCTTGGCTGAGGTCAGAAAGGTTAAAGCTTGGGTTTGATTGAAACCATGAAAAATCAAGCGCTTGAGTTTGTTGATGGACTAGTTAGTCTGGTTGGTTTACATTTATATGGCTATCAGTACTTTGATTAACAATATTTTCCATTTAAATTTTGCTGGGTTTTGTGCTGGTTTTTTTTTTTCCTATATTTTTGTTGTTGTATTTACCAGAAACAATACATTTCTAACAGAACTCTGTCATCTTTGTGAATAATAGCTTGCCAGATATTCCTGAATGTTAAGAATTTAGGATGTGGTTAGTGTATGGAATATATTTGTTATAGTGTGGGCGGCTGCTCCCTCATTAGTTTATATCTATTCATAACCTAAAAAATGTTTGAAGCGTGAGAATTTTCTGCTGATGTTTAAAATGTTCAACAAATCTAGTTGTGTGTATTCGGCAATGTTTGGAAGGATGTTTCAGCTCGTTTTAAGGAATTCATTGTTTTATTGAGTTCAACAGAAATTTTTCGATTAAGGTGTGAGGTTTAGAAACAAATGACATGTTTCTGGTCAATCTAGTACAGCAGGTAACAGTTAGATATTGTTTCTGAACAGATTCTGTGGGCTGTGATACGTTCTTTGACCCGTGTATTGGAGGGTTTGTTGTTACATGCCTTCCTTCTGGTGATCTACTTGATTGATCTGCTATGCTTAAAGATATTTCTTAGAACAGGAGGTAAATTATATTTAAGTAAAACTTATCAAGATAATGCAAATGACAGAAGAAGTTAATAAATCGAAAATATTTATTCTCTTAGTTTTCTTCTTTTTCTAGGGAATAGTTTCTAGGACAAAGGACAATATCAAGTACCACTATCAAATATGGTTATTTCTAAAGTCCTTTCTCTCAAAAATTTGTATAACCCATTTGTATGGGAATATTAATTTAAAAGAAACTCCTACAAGGTATGTAAATAAAACAGAAGTGCAAGACTAGTCAAATGCCATTTTAACAAAACTGAATATACTTTATATACTGTAAATGTAATGACCTGAGAAGGGTTTCTGATGAAAACAAGCAGCTCAGTAAGAGGATAGTTTTGCCTTTAAAAAGGGAAAAGCAGTTTTGAAGTCACCAGATCACGAGGAGTCTGGGGAAGATGAGCATCAATCCCCTGTTATCCCAGAATAACGATTTAGGAAATAAAGAGCTTTTATTCAGGGCTTTCTCTTCTGAAGACTGCAGAGAAAAAAAAAAACAACAGAAATTTGCCTAGTATTTCTTTTCTTTTTCTTTTTCTTCCAAATATATTGCTCTTTTAGTGGCAGGAATGAAAAAGGATATATTAGAATACTTTCATTTGAAGTGGATGGAATTTTAGAGGATGGAAATACATGAAATTCAGGTATATGTCATTATGTATAAAATACTATAGCGCTATGCATTTTTTTTTTTAACATAATTTGCTACTATTAAAATGTAGCAATCTACAACATGGGATAATAGCATCATAGAATAGAATAGAGTATACATTCATCTTGTCTTGTGCCAGATTTAGGTAGCCTCCCTGTAGTGGCTTCAGTGTGATGGCTTATACACATAAGATAAATGTGGAAGTAAAAAAATCAAGACCTAGAGAAACTCACATCCAACTGACACCAGGGTAATTTTTAGAGCAATGGCAGTCTAAGGCCTGAAGAATGTACATATTTGCTTCTGAATATTGTCTGTATTTATTTATTTTTAGTATTAGTAAATGAGAAAGTCATTTTGAGTGCTCTTAGGGATTAAAGATCATGGCACTAGGTACAAGGTGTGCATAAACAGGGGTTGTTCCTCTCTGGAGGATGGTAGGATGGTACCTTGTATGAAGGGGAGGTCTGCGATATGGCTTAGGAGAGGGTGGTTTAAAAATCCTTGTCCTTTGCTGCTGCTACGTGAATGAGTATTTCCCCGCTTATTATTGCATAGCATCTCATCAGTAAACATAGCAATTGCTAGTGTGCAGCTGTGATACTTGGAAAAGATGCATCAGTTTTAGCTTCTTGATACGCATTGTAGTAGGTGGAATCAAGGAAGTAATGGGAACAGCAAGGAGTGTTAAGAGATAGCCAGCAGCCCAAGGTTTATGCCAGGAGCACGGCTGCTCCATTAATCACGGTCTGGGAATTCTTTGTACTACACTGAATTAAAATGCTTTCTTTCCCCTCTAAATCTCACTTGCTGTTACAAGGTTAAGACCTTTCTGAAAGTCAGAAAGTATTAGTGAGGCTGATGCTTAACAATGATGAGATGGGGATGATTAGGAAAAGTCAGTCTGCCAGTCTTTGTACTGTTTGGCTTGTAATCAGGTTGATCAGCAATTAAGATTTTTTTTTTGTTTGTTTTTTAGAAACAGTTGTAGTTTGTGGGCTTTTGGTAGCACCCAGACATTCCTGAGGGGATCTTAGTGGGGTTTGTTACAGTACAAGAGACAATTGTGTGAATCATAAACCGTTGTCAGTTAACATGGGTAGCTTCATCAAAATCCGAGGAGTAGGGTTAGTTTATACCTGCTGACGTCCTGGTTCAGTGTTTCGAACGTTGTAGTCAAATTTGGTTCAGCTAAAAATAAGTATACTGCTTTCTCATGTTTGCTTTTTTAAATCATGTGTTTGAATTGAAGAAATCTCATCAAGTTACTTTCATTTATAGTTAAATTATGCAGAAACAAGACTGAATCAATTGGAAGACTGTCATTGTGAGAAGACATGTCAAGTAAATGGATTGATCTATAGAGACAAAGACTCATGGGTTGAAGATGATCACTGCAGGAATTGCACATGCAAAGTAAGAATGTCTAAAGAGTTTAAAGAGTAGAACCTAATTAAAATGTGAAAATGGTCCTTGAATACATAATGTCAACTCTGAGAATTATTATGTTTTTAGTATGCATCTAGTGGCAGTATGAACAATGGGGAGGGAAATGGTAAAATAAATATATAAAAACTTGACGCTGCTTATGTGCAAGCTTCATAAATAAAACCGGCTTTCCCTTGACAACGCTTTCTTATTTGTTCTAATTATATCTGTGAGGACAGTTTTGGGGTGAAGCCGTGGCATTGTCTGTGTTTGGTTTGGAATTTTCTTCACTGCTGTAGCTTTTTCATAAAGGAAGCATTATCTTAATAGTATTCATAGATGCTTAGTTGCATCTTGCATGGTAACAATGTGCAGATTCTGTTCTCAGTGTTTATCACTCTGAAAAACCAAGGAACAGAAGAGAATTAGTATGTAAATCATGTCTCGATGATATTATTTGATAAATATCTGAAGAGAGTCTTTATTTGCTCTAGAAAATAGAAAACTGATTGTGAAAAATATCAGAGATGATTGGCACAGCCTACAGAAAGTGGTGCTTATGTTTTTGTAAAGATGGGCTTATGCATTCTACTTACTGCACTTTGCTCAGGCATTTTGATTCAAGTTTGCTGTTGGATAGGATTAAACCTGTTGCTGAAGGATGGGTCTGTAATCCACAATGCTATTTGTATTTACTTAAATAGTTTTCAGTCTTCTGTGTTTTGTATAAAATAGTTACTAATTACCAACAGTCGTAGTTGAATTTTGTCTTAAAAACCTTTGCTTAGAGTGGAGTTGTGGAGTGCCGAAGGATGTCCTGTCCCCCTCTCGATTGTCCTCCTGATGCTCTCCCAGTGCACGTGGAAGGCCAATGCTGCAAAACATGCAAGGGTAAGTGGATCACACAGACCTTTTAGTTTCACCCTCTGTTTAAGCAGAGTTAAACTTGTCCTGAAAGCAGGTCCACCGTGTAATGACTTTTGTAGGCCCTGGTAATTCAGGTAACATAAGTCACAGTGGCAAACTTGATACAAGAAGAAAATAAATAATTGCGGAGAAATGAACAAGCATTGCAAACTTCTAAGATTCTTTTTACCAATTGTCAGTGTAAAGTTATTCATTCTCTTGTTCGGGGCTGGGAAGACTTAATTGGCTTGAATACTTTGTATCTCCTCTTGATGTGAGGAGCATCAAGCCTATGGTCATAACTTTCTGGAGCGAAGAGTAACGAAGTGAGTGGTAGTCTTTTGCCTGTCTTTTATTTCGGCTTGGAAGGTTGTTCTTTAAAACGATGACTAAATTTCAGACAGTGGGTTGGTATCACTGTGTGCAGTGATAGTCTGCTGTAATTAATTTCAAAATAAATTCATGAGAAGAAAGAAAAAACATAGTGATCAGCGTTATTGTCAGACTTCAGCTGCTTCTTCTGGAAATGAAAGCTGTAAATAACATTTCTGGAAGGAATATTCAATATTTGTTGCCTTAATAGTAGTACAAAGGACCAAGACAATTTATATACAGAAACTTTATCTGAGTACTGACACCAGTCTTACCTTAAGAAGCACAAATTATCCCCCCCTGCCGATCTTAGAGACTTGTAAACGTCATCCATGAGTTTTTCAATAATTCATTAAGACAGGGATATTGAATTATTTTAAGATATATTAGGAAAATAATAACACTTTTTAGCATTCTGTCATCCTTCTTCAATCATTGAATTCATTAATCCCATGCACAGATGTCTTTTAGCTGTGCTCTTGCCCTTGCTCTCGTTTACTCATGTCAACTGATTTCTCTCAGCTATATGTCAGCATGAGTATTCTGCTTACTAAAAGATGTTTATGAACAGAATACTTGTAAAGTATTGGTAAAGTGGCCATGCTGGCATGTATTTTTTGTCTCAAAAGATTTTTGGTTTGTAATGTTGCGAGTCTAGAAGGTCCTTTCATGAAACTGAATGCTTCTCTTGACGCTCCTGTGCTGTCATGCATGTATGCACAATGGTCAAAATCTGACACAAAGGAATTGTAAGGCACGAAATCGTAGCTTCAGCGTACATCCCCATGAGTGAACTGTGTTCCTGTTATTTGTAATGGAAAGATGAACAATCAAACTTGCCTTTTGTCAGTGATTGGCACAAACTTGACTCGTTATTCTGACAAGAACTCAGCATGTCAGTCAATGGGAAGAGATGTATGGAAGTTGATTGAAATTGATTGTAAATGCCAGCTCCTTGACAGAATGATGTGCTAGGGCCACAGTCAGTCACTTCTGGGAAGATAGTGGTAATTGCTGAGGCTTTCCAAAGAACTGCACTGCAGGTGTTAATTTCTCTGTGCTTTTCCTGTTTAGCTCTGATAGAATCATCAGCTGTAATTTGTGGTCTCTAGGGATTATTGAATGGCTGGATTATTGAACACTTTCCTGTCTTAGCTGAGGGTTAACGAACAAAGTAGTTCTAATGTCTGGTATGTTAAGGGTTTTAAAAGTGAAGCTCTTCTGTTTTGATCCCTGCCATCTTGTGTTAGCCTTTCATCTACTATTTGACAGAAGACTATAATTTTGTTTAAAATCTCATCATTTTTCTGAGTTGTACGTTAACTTGCTTTCTGTTTTGTCCATTCTTTTGTTAAAAGCAAGTCATGTCCAGGGAAAAGACAGAAATAAAAAAGGAATTTCTCTAATTCATCTTCCCAAAAATAGTTACTGAGGTTCCTAATTTAAACCAAGCTTCCTGATCTGAAATTTTCTTCATAAGTGAGATCACAACAACTCAGGCATAAAAACTAGGACAGCTTTAGAAAAATGAGGGGAACTAGGATACCAAAAGGAAAAAGCTGTGTTTTAAAATGCATTGTTGATGATGAAAACTGAGTTCATCTGAAAATCTTGAGCTCTGTTTGGTTTTTTTTCCCTTTTTTTTTTTTTTTTTTTTTTTATAAAGAAAGGAGCATTTTCAAGAGTGTAAGTTTAAACAGAAAGTCCTTAGAAGCAAATTTATGTCTGACAGTTTATGAGGTTTGATCTAGCAGTCCTTTATGTTTAAAATTTGGGAATCAAACTGGCTCTGACAGTTGCTACTGTGGAATACTCCTACTGGTATCACCTGTAAGGGGTACACACATGCACCTGTAAGTGCTGGGTTCCCTTACCTTGGTGTTCAGGAGAGAAATTGAGGTAAAACAGTTACTAGACAGTCTGTGACTTTTTTTAAGAACCGAGTACTTTGAATGCTTCCACTTTTACTGTTTGTGTGCCTTGACTCAGGAAACTTTTAAGTCTTTGTTCAGTTGCAACATAGGATTCATACCTTTAGCTCTCCTTTCACTGTCGTAGGTCAGACTGTTGTTGGTCAAGCGCAGAGAGTGCTGAAATGCCACAACAAAAAGTTATTTTATCAGTGTTTAGCATTGATTTGGTTAGTAATATAGAGTGCCTGTATGATGAATACTTGGTTTCTGTAAGATCATAATAGTCCAGCTGTTTTACCCTTTAATTAATGGATTTACTGTCCTCCTCTGGAACTGAAATTTAGACATCTACTTCCGAGAGGATGGTGATAGTTATGGTAATACAAGACCGAGCTGTATGCTACTGTGGCCCTGCTGGAGGTTACGCTCTGCTTCACGATGGCAGCATTGCCAAGCTAAGCTCGTTGATTTTGCGTTGAGATGGAGTGCTCACATGTTCTAGTCTGTTGGTTCGATTGTGGAGCTGGCTATCTTTAGCAGAGGATCAAAACTTTAGGCAAGAATTTATTAGTAGTTTATTTTTTCAGTTTCCTTGGAAATCTGCTTATTTCATGTGTGCTTTAAGAATATTTTTCTGAAACAGATTTTTACAGTTTGTTGATTCAGTAGTGTCATTCGCTGCATCTAATCCCATTGTGCAGTGCTCGAGCAAGTTGAAGAGTTCACCTTTGTGCTCACAGAAAATCTGAAGGTTTAATTGAAATCTGTGCTTATATTATTCTCTTGATGAACAGTACACTAATAAATGTCTCTAGTTCTTGAAGTGAGTCATGAAGACCTCTAGTAGCACAAATGCTGTAGCTTATCCACAGAATGTCAGTAATGAAAATATTTTCTGTTGAATACTCCCATTAGTGTTTGGTCCAGTATGTATTGTCTTATGCTCTTATTCCTCCTCTTTAGTTTGTGTAAAGGTTTGCTGCTTGCTCTTAAAATGATTTTATTATTAGCTACTTCGTTGGTAATTATATATAATACTGACCTCTGATGAAAGCAAAATGCATCATATTTTTAACATATCCGTATTTTTTCAGTGTATGTAATTACTGTTTTTACTTTCATGTTATACTTTGCATTTCTTTAGTACTTCAATACTGATGTAACTTATTTTTAATCTCTCACCTGCTCCTCTCAAATGACAGCAAAGTGTATCTATGGAGGCAAAGTGCTAGCAGAAGGTCAACGAGTATTAACCAAGAGCTGCAGGGAATGTCGAGTAAGTTTCAGTTGTATAAACTTTTCCTGATTTTAAACGTATGTGTGGTGTTCAAAAGTGACAATGATAAGTTAGTGCATTTCTTCAGGCTTCCTTCATGCAAGTATGACATCTGTTGTCTTGAAAAGGTGACCTTGAAGTCAAAGCCACAAACATGAATACAAGACAGGAATATGACCCTTGCCGGGTAATGAAAAATAGGGCAAAAATGACTTGGAGGGATGTTTTCTCCTTTATCTCTGCTTTCATAAGCTCCAGAGAAAGGCAGCAGCATCTCGAGCCAGTTAGTAATTTCAGCCAAATTGCTAAGATTTGAAGCAACCTGCCTTATATTGTTTGAGTTACTCTAAATTTACCTTAGTATTATTTAAACTGTATGTAGCTCTGCTAGTGATTGAGGTGAATTACTAAGTATTGGACTGCACTAGGGTCTTTCTTGGCAAGTTCATAACACTTAGACAACTACAGTCAGTATTTACGAACACAGGTAAAAGGAGGCTGTGTTAGCAACATTCATGGAGTGTTAGTGAATGTGAGTGCTACGTGGCGTGTGAGTATGACAGAAACCAGTTGTTGTCAAGGCTAGACTTAGAAGAAGAAGAGAGTAGTAGTAGATGATTATAAAATGCCCCTTGTTCTGCTGAGACGTGTATTTTTTGTGAGTATGTGTGTGCTTTAAATATGATTTATCACTTCAGAAGGGTATAGATATTTTAAACATATTTGCTCTCACGTGTAATTTTCAAGTATTTTCTGTTTTTACATCTTGTTGAATTTGTGGAGGGGGAAGGGTGAAAAGTGGGAGACTTAGAAATGTTATTGACAGATCAGTATGCTAGAACAATTATGTAAAACATTTGGAAAAGATTACAATGATCTGGTTATTGTTGTGCTTGTGGCTGAGTGTACACAGTAGCAATTTTATGTTCACTAATGGAAACGGACAATAGCTGGTTGCAGATGTTGTGAAAGCAGCTTGTTATGCAGAATTATTTTGCTATTGTTAGTGTTTAGCTGCATAGGGGTGCTCAACATTGTATATGTGCATATGTGGGCAAGGCCATTGCCTTGAAGACAGACTAAGGTGCCTGTTATTTATAATATGACATAGAATGTTTATTTGGGAGGGAAAGTACCTGTATTGAAATAAAATGAGAACAGGAGGATTTTCACACTGAAGTGAGACCAGAGAGAGTGATCTGAATTATGTCAGTGGAACTTCTCTGTGCTATAAATAAGAGCGTTATATTCATCGTTATGAGTATGATAATCCATTCATGAAGATTAAAAGCATATACTGACCATCAAATATCTGTCGTATTAGAAGTGACTAAAATAATAATGAAAAGAGCTTTTGCATTTTACTTATTGTTAAAGGAAATTAATATGGCAATGCTAACTGCAGAAATGTTGCAGTTTGTATTATTTACGTCTGAAAGAAGAGTATTGATAAGTGTTGGAAAGAGCGTATGTGAATGCAATATCATGAAAAAAATATCAGTCCATGTTGGAGAAAAAAAAAAGGTATTTTCACAGCAGTGTTTCAGGAATTTCAGGAAGGCATTGAACCTTGCGGGCAAAGGTTGTCATTCTGACTTGGGAGAGTTTCTAGGTGGGTGCTTACCGCTGCTTCTATGAGATGATGTGTCTCCAGACAGGAAGTTCATTCAATGTGTCTTCAGCATGACCTCTGAAAAACTGCAAGCAAAACACCTGCTTATTTACTGCCTCAATTAGGAATGCTTACTAGATGAAGGATGAATGGCGAGGAGTCAAGCTGTGGCGGTAGTCATCGTTTTCTGTCTGTTGCAGGCCTACTGATGTTGAATGGACACTGGGCAAGGTGTTGTATGAGTAAAGGAAGGACGTTCTGCCACGGGAAGGATCAAAAAAAAGTTAATATGGTTATATTATCCAGACTTGAAAAACAGATGTTAAGTTTGGAAAGTTGATCCATGAAGGAATACAATAGAGGATACACATCAACTGTCAATTTATTAGTGTTCATAAAGATGACTTAAAAATCTTGGGGAGTAGATCTTCTGTCTGTGGGAGGATGTATTTGTCGGTGGGGTGATGTCAAGAAGATAAAGTTGAAACTTCACAATTCAATTTCTATTTGAAGATGGTTATTCTTTGCATAGGTACTGATCCAAGCTGAAGAGACTTTTAACTTTTATATTTTTTCCATCTAATAAAAGTAATAATAATACTGATGGATCCAGATAGATCAAAGATTATCAGGCTGTGAGCAGTTTTTTTATTTCTGAAAACTAATCCAGACTAAAGATGTATTTGTGATGCACATCCTCTTAACTATAAGCACAGATGTTACTGATGGGCAGCTATTTCCAGCTGGAATCCTGCCTACAAACACTCTCTAGATTAATCTACAGTGACAAAATGACAAAATTAGTATATGGGTGTTTCTAAGAATCACAGAATAGTTCAGGTTGGAAGGAACCTCTGGAGGTGATCTTGTCCAACTCCCTTACTCGAGAAGCGGCTCCTAGAGCCAGTTGCCCAAGACCCCGTGTCCAGATGGCTTTTGAAGATCTCCAAGGACGGAGACTCCACAATCTGTCTGGGCAACCTGTGCTTGTGCTCGTTCTCCCTCACACTGAAAAAGTGTTTCCTGATGTTCAGACAGAACCTCCTGAGTTTCAGTTTGTGCGCATTGCTACTGGTCCTGCCCATGGGCACTGCTGAAAAGAGCCTGGCTCTGTCCTCTTTGCACCCTCCCTTTAGGTATTTATGTGTATTGATAAAGTGCCTCCTGAGCCTTCTCTTCTCTTGGCTAAACAGTCCCAGATCTCTCAGCCTTTCCTCCTGTGAGAGATGCTCTAGTCCCTTACTTGTGTTTGTGGCCCTTGGCTGGTCTGTCTCCAGTTGTTCCATCTCTTATACTGGGCAGGCCAAAACTGGACCCAGCACTCCAGGTATGGCTTCACCAGTGCTGAGCAGAGGGGAAGGATCATTCCCCTTGACCTGCTGGCAATACTTAGCCTTATGCAGCCCAAGTTACCGTTAGCCCTTTCTGCTGCAAGAGTACGTGGCTGGCTCATGTTCAACTTGGTGCCTGCCAGAGCCCCGAGATGCTTTTCTGTCAAGCTGCTTTCTAGCAGGGTGACCCCAGCACGCACTGACACATAGGATTGCTGTTCCCAGGTGCATGACTTTGTGCTTTTGCTTGTTAAACTTCTTGAGGTTCCTGTTGGCCGATTTCTGCAGCCTGTTGAGGTCCCTCTGAAAATGGAAGTGTGTTTGTCCTTTAGAAAACTGCACCTTCCTGCATTCAGGAAGTGGTTATTTTGGCTTGTGGATTTCACCAATATGATGAGGTGGCTCCTTTGAAGTCAATGGCAAGAATTCTATAACTTTTGTTCGATCGGGAGTTTACTGCTGATCAGCTGACTTCTGGGTTAGTGCCTGTGAATGAGATGATGCCTATTTGTAACTGGATGACGTGTTTGACAGCAAAGGGTACAAGAATAAATTCCTCCTCATTAATGCTGGGGGTGGGCAGTTAGAGAGTGCCATACAAATACTAGAAAGATGGACAGGGCTTCACCGACTTTCAGGAAGCTTGACGAAGAAGTTTTTCATAAAAATAAGGAACAGTGTGGTTCCTAGAGTGACAGCTGAGGACGCTATTTAGAACCTTCTTCTGAAAGGCTGATCAGTAACCCCAAACAACAACAAAACCCCCAAAGAACCTTATCTGAAGTCTTGCTATTATTTTCCAAAGCTGATAATCTGAAATGCGCTGTTTGTGGTTCAGATTTTCACTGTGTGTCACTGATTAGGCTTATAGCCAATACTTTTTCATGTACTTACCGTTGTAATTACAAGAAATTTAATTATCTGGTTGTGAATGTTTGACTCCAGATCTCATTCTTTGTGGATTGCATTTTAACAGTTGGATCTTGACCTCTTTATTCCAGAAGTGTGTCGTCTTGACATCTGTTTCTCTCCAGATGCTATGACTACATATGTGAATTGAGCAGAAAAAGTTAGTAATTTTTGTAAGGCTGCCTAAAGCAATAATTCTGAAGTGTGAACTCTTCTTACTTATCTCAGCGGATAAAATCTGAAATCTAATGATGATAATTCTTATAATTGGATCTGTACTGGTTTATAACAAATTGATGTTATCCAAACAATATTCAACAGGGAAATATTGTAACTGTTTTAAAACTTAATTAGAAGTATGTTTCATTTGTTTTCCCAAGGTACAAGTTCTGCAGAAAATGGGAGACTTCAGGGAAATAAAGTCTTACTGTCATTAAATTAATGGAATTCTCAATTTGTGGGGTTTTTTGTCTCTTTATGATTTGCTGAAGGTATGAGTTTGGACTGAATTTGATTTTAGCTTTTTGACTCATCCTGATCCGCTGATTTGACTTCCATATGATTTGTTGATTTCTTGCCATCTTTTTGATCAGATTAATTGTCAGTCAACACTTTATGTCCATATGCTGACATACTGTACCTTTTCTGGTGCAGTTGTCTTGTCTGAGCTTGAATAGGCGATGACTTATAGCCAGAGCTTTTCCAGCTGGTAGTTTGATAACATGATAGTAAATGACGGCTCAGTGTGTCTGGTTCTTTTATCACCTTTGCTGCTGTAGTTGCACAGGCAACTGTGGGGGATTCCTCCCTTTCACTTATAGAAGTGAGATCAGAAGGAGACCTAATAGCTCCATTAACTTCACTGGTCTTCTGTGGGCACTTGCTTCAGTGATGCATGCTGCATCTGATACTGTAGGGAGCTGCCTTTTTTTTTTTTTTTTTAAAAAAAAAAAAGAAAACTGGATGCCTGGGGTGTTTTTATTTTATTTTTCATGACAGCAACTGATGCAACTTGCAAGTAAAGACAGTTGGGAAGCGAGAAAATATGGCTTTTCTCTGCTCAGCCTTAAGACTGCGATCTCAAGGGCAGTGACTAGCAGTGATTGTAGAACGGTCAGTTTTGCATTCCCTGGGTCTGCTGTGCTGTCGTACATCCTGCTAGGCACCTTGTGCATCATTTGCACGTTGTATACTCAGCAGGCGTTTCTGCGTGCATAACTGGGCAGGGCAGCTTGATGCTGTGAGAGCTAACTCTAGAGCCTGAAACAACGTAGCTGAATTGGTGTGGCATGGCTGGTGAGACTGATTACCAGCAAAGGGTTTTACCTGTAATGATTCTGGCACCTGAGCTAGTCCTTTGGCATGGTGTGGCACAATGTCTTGTAGATGTGAAAGCAAGCTTCTGGCTAGCAAGGGTGTCTCTATATAGAGGTGTTTCTTCATACAGGGTAGACACATAGGTATTGTCAATATCCTCTGTTCAAAGTCACATATCTGATCGCTCAGATTATGAGAAAGGTGGCTTTAATAATGTATTTTGTCATTTTTTGGTATTAATTTTCCTCTGCTTTCTTAGCCCTAGATATGTTTCGATCACATTTTTAAACTTTTCTCTGCAATCATGATAGCTAGAAACTGTAATTTATTTCTTTGAAGAAAACAGAAAATCTCATTCCATCTTTTCGTTCCACCATCTGAGGCATCAGGAAAAATATTCTGGGAGACGTGGGGACTAGATTCGTATTAAAAAGGTGTATTGACAATATAGCAGGCTACTTGCTTTCTTAGTAGAGTTTCACAACTCTTTGGAAAATGGGATTACTCAGGTGTGGACAGTCCTGTGGATAGTTATTGTAGCTCCTACTGAGCAAAAATCCTGGCTGTTAATCTCTGCTCCACTTGCCGGTACACAGTGATGGCATAGCAGCAGAAGGGGTGCTGAAGACGCAAATTATGGCATGGGGAAGGCTGAAGGGGGAGAAAGGAAAGGAGGCTATTTTGGGACGAGATGTTAAGAAACAACCAACTGAAGAGTGAGACAGCTATTCGATCTGGAGATATGGTGATGCTGGTTTCTTGGATGGGAAGAAGAGGGAGTAAAATTTGGTGTAAAATCTCCCCAGAAGGGCTCTGTCTCATTTTAGAAAACTTCTACCACTAGCTAAACCTCCTGTGCATACTCTTACTCTAAATCATAGAAATATCTTGACCTTGATTTACATTTTATACAGCAATTTCTGTATGGATATGATAAGATGGGATTTCTGCTTTGCCATACTTTGAAGGACCTAATTTTTGGAAATTAGGTGATTGTGATCAGTAATTCTAAAGAGCAGACTCTTTTAATTGGGCACAGCAGAACAACACAGGACACTTGAAAATGCTGGTCTTCTATCTGCTGTGTTTGTTTGAATAACTTATCAGTGAGTTATGTAGACTATATAGAGGAGTAAAACTCTCTTGTGTAAAGAAGGAAGACTGTCTTTAACAAAAACCTGTAGTGAAATTCTTTAATTCCTTCAAATACTTGGAAGGAAAACAACTACACTTGGAGGCAACATATTTGGAAAAACTCCCATGGAATTTTGAGCTTAAGTGCCTTTTTTTCTTTCAACTCTGAGCATAGAAATGTCAAAGTAAAGTATTTGATGTTATTTTGTAAAGAATGAATTTAACTTGCTGCTGTAGTTTATTGGTGTTGTTACTAGAGATTACCAGAGTTATAGATTGACGATTATGTTGCACATGGTTTCATCAATTTAATTTTTTAAAATGTTGTTTATTTTCAGAATGGAGTTTTAGTAAAAGTAACAGAGACTTGTCCGCCGTTGAACTGCTCAGAAAAAGATCATGTTCTTCCAGAGAACCAGTGTTGCAGTGTTTGTAGAGGTAAGCCAGAGACTATGCATGCTTGGAAGGAATATAAGTTGCTGATTCAACAGGGGGATAACTGGAAGGAACAGTTCCATTTTAATGAGATATTAGGTACCTCTATAAACCTGAGTCTATAATTAGCCTTCACATAAAATCAGCCTGTGATACTCCTTTGGGTATAAGACTTAGCAGATACAAAGCTGTAATTGCTCTGAATTAGGGAGGGGACGGGAGAAAAGGAAGAGTTGGGGGAGAAAGGGCCCAGTATCTCTTAAGAATTCCCATTAGGAAGAAGTTATGTTTGAAAAAGAGGTATTTTTTGTTGCTTAAACTGCAACTGCACTGAACATAATGGGTTTTAGAAACGAGTTTTTAAGCTCTGTGTTTTAAAATCACAATAATATTGTTACGATTCCAGTTTGATGGATGTTTTGAGGTTGATTTAGATCTGAGCACTCTCAGGACTTATTTATTAATTAAGCTGGACAGTTACAGAATAAAAATGAAAAAATAACCCTACAGTACAGAACCCCATTTTTCTGCCCTCCAGTGTGAGGTTCCTCTTGCTTGTTCCTGTTCAGCCCTAGTGAATCCTGCTTGCATGCTGGACCAGACTGAATGAGCGATAGCTAAAATCTTCGTTGAGGAAATCTCCTTAAATGAGGAAAATGCAAGTATCACAAGGCTAGGGAACTCGAACAAGCTTTCTTCTTAAAGTGTGTTGTAATCAGTGAGCTGTTAGGTGAAAGGTGTTAGTCTGTACATCTGTATTGTACCTCTGTTCCACATCTGTTTCTTGGTGCTGAGTCTCAGCTGAGCTTAAGGGGAACCTGGTCTGTCAGAGCAGGACTTGCGTGTCGGGGTTTAGTGAGGCACCTCAGAAATTTCGAGCAAGAGGCATGCCAAACGAGCATTAGGCACTTCCAGACTTAGATGGTTATTGGGGCCTGCTGCACTACTTTTCTTGCCTGTATGTAAATTCCTCTGGTGGTGTTGCAGATGCCAATGAAGGGGCTCTGAATCTCTCCCTTAGCCAGTAAATATTAATTAATAAATACACGTAGTTAAATATTTACTAAGGCCTTGAACTTGCCATCATATGCACGTGGTTGCAGGGGCCAGCGCATTTGAGACTGTTTGCTGGGTCGTGGTCGGAGAATATACACATGAATTTTTTAAGCAGTTTCTAGAAACATCTGTAACTACTTAAGCAAGCAGTAAATGTTGCTGCTTTGTCCCTCAGAAGGCTCGATGTCTTAATGATACTTCCTAACAGATGGCCCAGTTTGATGTAGTGCAGTACAGAAAAAATGATCTTCATTACTTAAAAGCATTAGAAATCTGAAAGCTTCAAAGTTGATGAAAGACAAGTTCTGTAATTATTCACTTCTATATTATTGTTAATGATAGGTACTCATTTTAGATATTCACCCCAAAACTATTTTTATTGTTTATGAAGTAGCATGAATATGTATACTTACGTGATGGTCTCTACAATCAAAGGAAGGAATTGTACTTTAACTTCCTATGAATTCTTATACATGGTGTTTTAAAACTGATACATTAAACTTCCACTGCTGTTCTGCTTTAACTGACTGCTAAAACAGTACCACCTCCTACTGTATTTCATCTTTGCTTTTAAAAATTCTTTTGAAAATTATGCTTAAAGATATGAATAATTTTGTCAACTTCACAAAGGCATAAATTGAAGTTAGCACTCCAAAATTGCTTTTTATATCTTGAAGTAGAATATATGCTGCTTGACATTTTTGCTTCACTTGCACGCAATCCAGAGTGGTAGTATATAATTTTATCATATGTAAAGTGATGGTGTTAAAAAGGAATATTTATTAAGATTTCCATATTTGGTATGGGTTTTATCATGCAAACAGGTGCCCTCTGATATGGCAAGCAGGCAATAGTTTCTGGTCGCGTCCTGTGGGAACATGTTCTTTACTGGGAAAGACTAGAGTGTTTCTCTGTTTTGCAATGATGATATCTTTCAGAGACTATATTCAGCTTTTGTTGTCCAAGCAAAAGTAGCGAGGAAGAAATACTGTAGCAAATATAGTCCTGAGTCATCAAGGTGTTCATTGGAAGCCCACATGCATGATTTGCACGTCGTGGAAATTTCACATTATATGTATGATGATACAGGTAATTCTTTGTGTTAGCTCTTAGCTAGGTCTTTCGTTAGTCAACAGGATGATTAGTAAGCATTTACTAGTAATGCTAAATGAGCACAATAATTCTGTGTGAAGTTTATCGGTGCATACTAGTGATTGGTAGGTTCTGGTTTTGTATCAGTTTGTGCTTGCTTTAGAACCCGGTTGTTGAAACTGAAAACTTCTGAAGTTCACGTTGTGTAGAATTATAGAATACCTTTGCTGAACTGGGCAAGAGTGGGAGGTTTGCAGCTTGTGCTTTTCTAGCTGTGGTAAAGGAATTTCCATTTAATGAAAGGAGATATGTGGGGGATCAATGGCAGGAAAAACCCCTGGAGAAATACGGAAACTTCATGGCACTGTGGTATGAGACTGTACACTCTTCAGGGATCTCTGTGATATCTGCTACAATAATAGAGAAGTGCCTAAAATAAACCAGGGTATGCAAGGAAAAAAATAAATCTGTGGTGTTTATGGTGATGGAAATTGTGAGTCAGAAAGGGCCGAGCTAAACACTGTAATGTACACAGCTGGTGGGCTTCCTAGATAGTCATTATTGTTTGTTAGAAAAGTAAAGGCAGCAAATAATACCTTTGCTTCCTCAGGTTTGCTACGTGAGTTTATAGTATAGCAAAAGCTAGTATATTGATAAAAGCCAATTTCTAGATTTCAATGAAATGATTGTATAAGGTGTACAGCAAGTCAGGCATAGTATGGAAGAACTCTGCTATAAAATGACAGCTTCTTTTTGTGATTTGTTGCACCTGAATGCAAAAGTGGGCCTTATCAGATCGGTATTTAGAATTTATCCTTGAATGTTATGCAGAGTATTCCTAGTTTTGCCCTTCATTTTTGTTATTGAATATAAATGTCTGCTTAAACTATGTGGCTACTTTATACTTTTTCGCAGGACAGTGTGGTATTATTAAGCTCTCATTTTAGGCTTACAGAAATTTTAGTTAATTTTAGAATTTTACAAAGAATCATTGTGTAATAAAATATGTTTTTCACTACTTTTTTGAGAATCAGTCATTTTTCTTACAGCATGCCTGCTGCATTTTTTATAGGCCAGGGACAAATCTAATACAAAAAATAGTGTCGTAAAAATGTTTTATTGTTCCCTTTAGCTGTTTTTCTCCTTGCCAAAGACAGTGCATAATTTTGAAAGAGTGGATTTTTCCTCTTTTAAATGAGTGACTCAAAGTTTCATGAGAGAATTTTTATGTTGTTATGCTCACAATTTCACTATGTGAGAATAGCCTTAACAGCCCTAGCAGCTTCAGTCATGCTCTCCTTTAAAGAGAGTGTGAGGAAATAATGAAGTAGAGCTGTTTGGTTTCTGGAGAAAGTAATTTTTATTTCTGTCCCGTAATATGGTTTGGCTGCTGGATTTAGATTGACTGCTGATGCTGGTTAGCAGTAAGTGGAGAATCCTACTGGTGAGTTGAAGTGTGCATTTTACAGCAGGGAACAGCATTTAAATCTAAAAGTGGGGCTTCTGCCACCGTTACTTGTATTGCTTTGTTTTGTTTCAAGGAGGTTTTTATACTTTCAATTAGAGGATGAGAAGGCTCTTCAGTTAGCATGTTTCTCATCTCTCCCTGTCTAGCTGTGAAACTGGGTTTTGCTTTTTCAGAAATCAAATGTTTCTTACTCAGTGCTGTGAGGTATGAGTTATTTCAAGGTTTTAGTTTTATTTAGATTTAAGGGAGCTTGCTAAATATGAATTAGTTTACTTCTAAACATATTCATAACATTGCTGAGAATTTAGAAGAGCTATGTGTCAGAAAAAAAAGTATCGTTATAAGCTTGTTAGGCTGTGCAGTACCATTATTATAATGTACACAAATAAGCAGTATGTAATAAGGTCTGCATTGATACAGAAGCTTGAAAGAATTTATGAAGTCACTGTTTTATGTCAGACCATTGAGTTCTGGGGCCACAGTCTCTGAAGGCATAAAAACTGCTGTTTAAAGTGCTTCATTGCTCGTGACTCATTAAAAACTGATTCAGATCATGAAAGAGCATAATTGCTAGTGCAAATTTTATGACTTTTCCTGTGAGTTGTCCCCCAGATTTACTTTACACATTTATGTAACTGGGTGACAGCACAAAACAGCCTAACATACCGCTCTGGAAAAGTGGATTCTGGGAACTGGAGCCTGAAGACGTTGAGAAGCTTGGGAAAATAAAATCAATCTTCAGGTGTCTCAAAATGGAATAAATGTTTAATTTTAGATAATCTGACTTGAGACCACTAAGCTCTAGCCAGTTGTGCAGTTCCCGATGCTGCAGAAGTGACAGTTTTATGTCTGTTAGCATGAAATATGATCTTTTTCATTAATTGCCTTAGTACATTTATTAATGGTCATTCTGCAGTCAGAAGAAATAAGTAGAAAGATATAAATATGTTCTTTAAGAAAAATTGGAGCAAGCATTTCAGCAGCCTTGAGAAGGAAGAGAGCAATGTTATCAGAAATGTTTGGGGAAGGAGCAGAGGTCATCAGGCACATCAAAAATCTAAACATACTCTTCAATATTTAATTCCCCTGTTGGTAGTATCTAGTTGTATCTTGAATGTCTTGAATGACTTTGAAGGGCTGTTGTGCACAGTTACGACTGTGTGTGTATGTGTATGTGTGGGGAAAATGGTTTCTGACATCTGTTCTGAATGTGTTTATCTGTAATTTTAATTCATCCTCACTTGCCTTGTCATCTGGGTTGGCCTGAAATTAGTTTAGATTATCAGAACTATTTAAGATTTTGTGTGCTTCTGTCAAATCCTTTACAATTGCCTGCTTGCTCGGATGTGATGGTTCTATTTTAAGACATTTCTTAGAGAGGAGCTGA